GTGCGTGCGTGCGTGCGTGCGTGCGTGCGTGCGTGCGTGCGTGCGTGCGTGCGTGCGTGCGTGCGTGCGTGCGTGCGTGTGTGTGTCGCCTACCGTATTTTCTGGACTTCCAGCAACTACTTTTTTCCCCAAACTTTGAACCCTGCGGCTTTTAATTTGATGCCAATGAAAATACCGAATATGTCACAGTAGACCAATTTAAGTGTTCAAGTCTGCCCTCAAACTGAAAATTCATCACCTATGTGCAGTGGAATGCACATGCTGAGGTTTAAGCTGAGAGAGAGCGTGAGAGAGAAAAACACGCAAGTGTGTACGCATAGCGGTGCACGTGGCTGTGTGAAGGAGCGATCGAGAGCCAAAATAAGCATGTTGAGTTTAATGAGCAGAGTGTGCAAGATTTTTGCAGTGGGACCCCGGTCTAAGTTCATCTGCAAATTTTCCCTATGTGACAACAAGGGTCAGAGAAAGGTTCTGGGATGCTGTGATAATAAGGTCCGAAACAGGTCGGGTTGACAAGCTTCGATATTAAACTGGTTCAATATTTACGACCAAATACCATTGTGTGTCGGAAAAGCCGATGAATCATGATGGCTTGAACGCCATGGTGCAAATCCCCTCATCACGGCAGTGAATCAAGAAGATGTGAATGTTTTTTTCTTTCTTTTCCAGGACAGTGAACTTCTGACATTTAACATCTCAGCCCATCACTCGTGGTGGAGCGAACACGGGCCAGGCTGTGTGAGGAGAGAAATGCCACAAGCTGAAGGGGTCCACACCACTGAAAGCAGCTCGTACATCACTGTCATGGGCTGCCTCATGGACTACCAGTACATCGAGGTCATGCACAGTGGAACACAGATCCTGACTGCTGTGAGTATCAGTCCGCGCTTCCACAGTCATATGTTACATGCCTGCATTTGGGCCAAACACCTCCTGTGAACGATTTGCTGAATGTAAAATTTGTGAAGTTCCGGATCGCTCCGCAATGAAGTGGATCCCACAAACGTAGACACGTGTAAAGATTAACAAAGAGTTGTATTACAGAAAACGCAATACCGACAAAGTACAACAAAGGTCACAAAAGTGCCAGGATAACTCGAGATAAACACAAATCACTTGCAAAAGGGAAGGAGGAATAAATAACAAACAAAAGAACACGTCATAAAAAGCCAAGGAAATCCAATTACGAGAAATTAAAAACAAAGTGACAAAAACAATAACCATGCCGAGAATACAAAAGTAGAGCGCTGTGGAACAAGGTCGAGGTCAAGAACATCTAGATAATTGAACATTTGGAACATGAGTCGTGAGCAAGGCAAATTATCCAACAGCATGTTGTCGGCGAGGCAGAGCTTATAAAGACAGATGATTGTCACGTGTGACAGGTGCATTCTGGAGGGAACGCCCTCCGAACCACCTGGAAACTGAAACACAGACAAAGCATGACAATATTTTTTCACAAATCTATACTATTGGTCAGTCCGCTGGTTTAGGTGTCACTTTTTATGTTTGTTGAAAATGGCTTGCTCTCGTTGACGATGGAATGTTAATGGCTGAACCGACATGCCGTAGGGTTCTCCTGAAAAGTGATACGTATGTGCAGGGCCGCCTTTACCTACTCATAGGCCCGAGCTAAGAATTAAAGATATAATCTAAACCTTGTGGATTAAAAGAGATCTGATGTCATGGCAGGAATGATGAAAGTCAGGAGCGTTCCTGTGACTGGACTGTTCATAGTCTCAATGATTTAACTTTGTTCTCTGTCAGTTCGGCTGACCTCGAAAACCTAAATATTCATTGATGTTCTCTGTACCAACAAGAGTGCAACCGGAGAATTTTTAAGGCACACAGATATCTTGTAAACCACCATCTCACTGAAGGGTGAACATTTCCAACGATTGGTGAAGGTAGAAAAAAGTCGTGTTTGCGTCAGGGTTCATTAACGGTCGCGATTGTCTGCTAAACGGTTGTCAGACGTGCAGCAGATGTTCACCAGTACTTTTCGTGTCGCAAGGGAATTCGCTAAAACTGTTGGCGAACGTTTTGCAAACATTTGCAACATTGAATCAACCCTGACACGAATGCAACAGTCACTGCCTTCGAAAACACTTGCAATTGTTTGAAAGGGCTGTAAAGTATGCAAAAACTGCATCACAGTTTTTGGTCTCTTAAGATACTTTGAGAAATAATTCATCTCCCATTTTTCCCCAATGACATCGCAGATTATGAATGCATGCTGGACACAGCGTCTCCTGTGCAAAGTTGAAGGTATTAAAATGCAAAAGCAGACAACTTGTGATGGCCTGTTCTTCGTTGGGAGCACTGCACACATCTCCCAAAACGATTGTATATCACTGGTGTGGGTGGTGCAGGCTCAGCACGACAACAAGCGTGTGCCGAATGATTTTGAAGCTGGTATGTGAAGGTAAATTACAGTATCTGCATAATGCTGCTTTAAACATTTCTCCTTTCTCCTTCGGGGTTGAAATGCGTAGCAGCCAGCCAAGCAGAGCTCAAGCGAGGAATGAAAGAGAAAAGGGTGGGGGGGGGTGGCGGAGGCATGGACTTTTGTCTTGGCAAAGGGCCTTTTGAACGTTTCTATGAAATATTTAGTTGGGGCTCAAAGGATGGTCGTTTGTGTCATTTCCATGAAATATTAATCTGCTGGTCGTAATCACCGTCTTCTGAGATTCATTGAGTTCGTCAAGATGCAGATGATGGCAGACGATCCTGAAGAGAGGCCGGTTTCACTTGGCACAGGTGGTCATCAAGTGTGGTCATCTCTTAAGTTTTAGGATCATAGGTTTGATCCCTTCAGTCCAAAGTCACCTGATATAGGCTCCAGCTCCCCCACCACCCTCATGAGAATCAGTGCTATAGAAAATGAGATGGCTGGATGGGAGTATTTTCCTCCACAATTCTTCAGCATCCAAATGTCCTCCAATATGTCTACTTTTATTGAGTGCCTTTTTGAATTCCGCTGTCATCCCTGTGACTCGTTTTCTTCTTGGTGTCATCAGTGGCATCTTTTTATTCTGCAGTCACTCTGGTCCTTTTTTTGTTCCTTTGCGTCATGTTCATTGTTAAATAAAACATGTGGACTAAAAGACATTTCATGGGAAGGAGAGAGAGGAATGTTCATGGCGGAACAGAGAGTCGGAAAAAAATATTGGGGACGTCAATTGTAGCTTTTATCTGCTGACGTCACTTCCATTTTAGAGTGACAGTTCTCTTTAAATGATGCACACAAACACACATCACATTCAATGAATGCATCACAGTAAATTCACAAATGATTCAATAACAGCCATCACAGGATTTTCCCAGCGATAGCTGATCATGCACATTTGTCATGTCGGTTTCACTCACTTATTCTATCACTTATTTCCTCTTTTACTCCTCGCCCCACCCAACAAAGTACATTATTACAGCATGTCGTCCTCTCTTAGTTTTCCCACCCGGATGTCAAACAGCTTGACCTACCCGTTTGTCAAAGAGGCACTTTCACACCACTCACCAGCCTCCTAAAGTTGGGGCAATCTGATGGCTCTCGAGATCTCTGCTCGCTCGTACAGTCAGGTCCATAAATATTTGGACATTGACACAATTTTCAGCATTCCAGCTCTGTGGAACACCACAATGTATTTGACATTAAATGAACTACATGTGCTCTCGCCGCTTTAATTTGAGGGTATTTGCAATCAAATCAGGTGAACGGTGTAAGAATTATAACAGTATTTGTATGTGGCTCCCACTTTGTAAGTAACCAAAAGTAATGGGAGTAATCAACAATCATGACTCAATCTTTGACTGTTTAATACTTGGCAGCAAACCCTTTGGAGTCGATTACACCCCGAAGTCTGGGATGCATCATCAACATCACCAGACACTGGATTTCATCCCTGGCAATGCTCTGATAGGCCTCTACTGCACCTGCTTGAAGTTGCTTTGGACATTTTCCATTCAGTTTTGTCAGCAGCAAGTAAAATGTCTGTTCAGTCGGATTCAGGCCATGTGATTGACTTGGCCAGTACATAACATTCCACTTCTTTGCCTTCAAAAATGCTATAGGCTTGGGGTTGTTGTTCATATGCACTGTGAAGCATCGTCCAATGACCTATGAAGCATTTGGCTTAAATAATATGCGCAGTTTATATTGCCCAAAGTACTTCAGAATTCATTTTGCCATCACATCCATATTAAATACAAGGAAAGCAGTTCCATACATGCCCATCTGACCATGGAACAGCTGTGCAGCCAGGCGTCCGCTTATTCTTGATCCCTGAAAACGTCGGAGGCACACATACAAACTGTCCTGATTCTTACACCATTCACATGATTTAGCTGTAAAATACCCTCAAGTTAAAGGTGACAGTCTGCATTAAGCACACCTTGTTCCAATTCATTGCGGTGGGGTTTAGAGCCAAAAAGAGGAGAATTGTCTCAATGTCCCAATATTTGTGGCCGTCATTTTTAGCACCGTTGATGTGAAACGATGTCAGTCAGATTGATGTCACAGTTACGTTTTTTTTTTTTTTTTTTTAATGGAAATGGGCGGTCTGGTGCGTTCTCCTCTTCTGTGGATTACGAAGGCATTATTCGGTATACTCCCATTTATTACCTACCAAACATTGTTTTTGTATGCCACAGCTGAAACGCTCCTTACAGTCTCATTCCAGTCCCAGTTAGAGTTTTGTGTTTGTGAAGTTGGACATAGCAGCACTCAGATTAACAGAGCATGACATATTTGCCACAAACCCTCAACTGAAACACATAACAGTAAAACACAGCCTAGTTCTTCACAATAAATTAATAAAACTAATAAAGTTGAATGTACTATCATCTTAATTACACCTTAAGGAATTCAAGATGTAATCTAATGATGGTTATACAAGAGCACCTTTGCCCATCGCCCCGTAAAATGCGGAATCATCCTTTAATTGGGAATTGAATGTTTTGGGGTTTTTTTGGTATTTGGGCAGTCAACCCTTTTTTTTTTTTTTTTTGGTTTTACCGCGACGCCGTGAGGAGTGTCCCTTCTTTCCATATCTGAAAGGTGGCAACCCTAAGAGCAGCTGCTTCCTGGTGCGATATAACACAATTGACATGTGATTTTATTAGTTGACTAATCGTGGCTATTGTTGGCGATTAGTCTACTTGCAAAATAATCGCTTGTGGCAGCCCGAATTGCCACCGCATTGTCACATGAGCCCAGGAAGGATTTCTGACTAAACATTGGTAGTAAGCAGTCAGCCCAAAGAAAGGAGAAGAAAAAAATTGACAAATATTTCTACAGCAGACCACTCTCTGAAACTTATGTCCTCGTACTACTCGTAAGCACATCACCGTCTGCCATTCTACCTCAAAAGCTGTTTTTGCTCAAATATTTCATTGTTAAGCTGTTTAGCAGGGAAATGGATTTTCTGCAGATTACATTTTCCTCAAACATTTGTTCTTTCTTCTGAGCGACTACACTGGAACATTTGTACGACAAACAAACAGCTTATGAAGTTTGGTAACTAAACTCTTTGCTCTACCTTTTCTTCATGTCCCCTGGTCGGAAGGGTCCACTGTTCCTATCTCGCCTTTCCCCCACTCGGACCTCATCTGAATTCTTTGAATGGTGCCGCATTTAAACACAAAGCCCTGCTTTGTTTGCTTGCCGCTTTCATTCATGCAGTACAGCCTCTTGTGTCTATAAAGTGTGTGTGTGTGGGGGGGGGGGTATTAGCATACCGTGCAGTTATTAGATGTGAAAGATGCAAATGAAGCAACGTGCATTTGTTTGTGTGTGTACGTGTGCGTGCCTTTGTGTGTGTGTGTGTGTGTGTGTGTGTGTCTGTGTGTGTGTGTGTGTGTGTGTGTGTGTGTGTGTGTGTGTGTGTGTGTGTGTGTGTGCTTTGCCAAGGGAGGGGGCTAGCAGAAAAAACAGGTGGATGTGTTCTCTGCAGACTATCGCATGGTGATTTATCATTAAACTCTCAGCTGCGCACACACACAAACATCTCTTTTTCGAGGGGGAGGCCTATGCCTCATTATTAGGCAGGGAGGGGGCCCTTTGTAATTAACCTAGAAGACATTTGCAAAACCCCCTCACATGCTCTCGCTTTGATCTCTTAACCGCCGTTGCTCTAGTTTACCTTGATCTTCATTCACAGCGCCATAATCAATAGTGGGCTGTTTGCTTGTAGACTGACACAGATTTCCATCCTTGCTAATACTTTGTGCATGTCACCCTAAAAAAAAACATTGTTTTTTGGAGCCATCATTATGCACTGCATGTAATTGATGTAATCTTCTAATCTTAAATTGTATATAGTTTGTTACTTTTTATCTTACTTATTTCTTAAAGTCTGTGTTCAGTTTGACCACCGCCATTTGTGAGGAATAGGGATTTGGCCAGCCCGCAAATAGCAAAAATCCATGTATAATTGACAGCCATTGTAATGCATAGCAACCAAAAAAACTGGGGGAAGAAAAAAAAATACTTGGGAAAACGATCTACAAGTATGCCAATCCGCAGGTACCGAAACACAAGTAGAAGGGGCACCACTGTAAAGTGAAAACAAGTTGGTCTTGTAAATTTAACACATCACAGACAACTGTAAACAACCCTGCCAAAAAAAATTATAACACAAGCCTTCAAAATTGAGAAAAATCGCGGCATTGTTCCTGCTCACAAATGCTGTGGATTTGACCACTGATAGCGCCTTGGACAACTGTCAGTCAAATACCATGACGTCAAGCCTCTTTCGTTTGCCGACACATCCCTACGTGTTTGTAGGGATGTGAAAACTGGATCCGCTTCAAGCCTTCCATGGCTGAAATATATCCCACGGGGTCGTCGAAGGGCTTTCCGCGAGCCGAATAGGTCTCCTTTTGGCTGACAGACGGGCAGCGGGCTCGTCCGCAGCGTCACCTCCTTGCTTGGTGTTGCTGGTGTCTGGGTCCATAAAACAGACACTTGCAAGGAAAGTCAACCATTTATTAAGGAGGATGCACACGTCATTCAACCTTGAAGAAATTGTAACTTGCATGCCAGATGGCCACAGATGCAAACAAAAGCACTCAAACTTTTATATGAGGGTGAGGGGCCTACTCATGCCAGACCAAGTGAATTGCGTCGCTGGTCCCCATTTTAGCCATGCCCATAGAATCAGGAAAACTGAAATGGTGCTAAATAGTTTCACACTGAAGCGCCAAAAGCAGGTTTTCTTTCGTAGTAATGGAGACACATCTTTTCTCGTGCACTCGGCCAGAGTCAGGATGGAACAGAAGCATTGATTTGTTGGATTATCTTAGTATACTCATCAAATTAACAATTCATGGCTTCAATACCCGATCGCTTAGTTTATTATCGAGACTTATGTACATCTGGTCAACATTGAAAATGTGCAGAGCCTTTTCTGGGTGCTGAAATTGGTTTGTGCCTTGTGGACATATTTTTATGATTGTGTGTGTGTGTGTGTGTGTGTGTGTGTGTGTGTGTGTGTGTGTGTGTGTGTGTGTGTGTGTGTGCGGTGAAAATTTGACATGGCATTCTGATCTGTTCTCTTCACCAGCTCTCATTAGTCTTTGCATACACACACTTAGCTATTTTTTTAACCTGCCTCAGCCTCTGGCCACACACACACACACACACACACACACACACACACACACACACACACACACACACACACACACACACTTTCTTTTTACCCCCTTGGGTTCTATTAGAATTACATCCTTTCCAACATCATCAATAGTAAATGAAGGAAGGCCCATTGGATGACATCGTGTTCGATGTTTTCCCATGTCCACATCCCGTAGTTTACTTGTTTGGTGTGTGCAGGTTTGTGCTGCAATGTGTGTTCTTGTGGCCCTCGTCACAGCTATTATCGCTGCTCACTCCGTGGAGAGAGAACATAGACCTGCGGGAAGGGTGTTTTAAATTGAGGGCCGACCGGCTGTGTGCTTTCTTCTATCAGTGTAAATTCATGATGTGGATGGAAGTTTCTGCATAAATCAGCACGTACCCTAAAACCTGCGTGTGACGGAAACACAAACAATTGGTTGTGGCTATCAACTTCTGCAGATTTTTTTGCCCTCTTCAGATTAGATTGTGACTGTGCAGATGTAACCCTGAAGCCTCTTCTCTCCAAATCATAAGCATTTGTAGGGTTAGATTAGTTCGAGTTACTTTGATGATGGACAGCACTAGCATGACAAACATTAGGTAATGTTGCACATACAGCACATTTGACAATAAAGTTGTACTTGATACTTGATAATAGGTCAGAGAAAATCATAGTTCTCGTGTCATGGTTTGGTGGTCATGGTGAACTAAAATCTCATTTTGCTGAATGTATTCAGTGGTGCTGTCAGCATCTCAAGTATTGACCAGAGCTGAGATGTAAATGATAAATAGTAAATCGGCTGTCACTTATATCGCACTTTTCTACCTTTGGCACTCAAAGCGCCGTAATACTTTGGTGTTGAATGAAGTATAGTATGGACCGATTCAGTTTTGCCTATTACACTGCAACATAAACACTTTTCACACAAGTTGTTGCAGGGTTTTAGCATTAGCTCAGGAACTATTACATTTGAAATGCATTGTTTTGACAATCTCGAAATTTTCCCCACGCGTGATTGTGAGCTCGAATCTTTGTCTGTGTGTGCCCTGCGATTGGCTGGCAACCGGTTCAGGGTGTCCCCCGCCTACTGCCCAAAGACAGCTGGGATAGGCTCCAGCACACCCTGGTGAGGAGAAGCGGCTCAGATAATGGAAGAATGGATGCTTTGACAACTGCTTCCATGCCCTTCTCTTTGGCATGCCAACTTCTGTGCATTTCGCTTTGGTACTTGTCAAACTGCCATACACTTTTCCCTGTGTGGTGTGCCAGTGTGAAAGGAAGGCAGAATGCCCGATGGGGCTTTAATTGGCATGCCAGAGCGCCAAATGATGGATGGAAGACAGAGTGAAGACGTGCTGTCTCCGTCTCCATCTCTCGAAGGCTCTGTTTCACAGGCAATGACAGCCATCTGCCACTTTGAGGGCTCTTTTCCGTGCGCATACAGTAAATTAATAGCTGCAGTCACTTGTGGGCTGTCTGGTAAGTTTCCATGTGCAAGCACTAACTGTACAGTTGTGTACACACTGGAAACTCCCTCAACGCATGGAAGACTCAAGATCTGTTATGGGTTCATCCTGCCATCATTTCAAAGAACATTTTTCACATTCTGTTGATCACCGTTAACTTGAAATGTTTTTTCTGAGTAGAACCTCGATTGCATCTTCCTATCGGATAGCCCACTGGCTTGGCCGCTTTAGAGTGCTTGGTTGCCTTCCTTCTGTGCATGGGAGTCGCACAGAAAACGTGGAGGGCAGTTCTGTCTCGTCGGACTAAACCCAACGACAACCCGGTGGAGAAAAATTTAAAATATATTGTCTTTCAGTCTGTATAACTCCAGTGGGTGGCTCCGTTTCCTCTTGTGTTCGTCCAATTGTCATTATCTCCATTAGCTCAAACAAAAAAACATTCAAAACAAAGCCAGGCTGATTTGTTTCTTCTTTCAACACTCCATGTATTGATTAGGTACTCATTTACGTAATCACTGTCACTGTTATTTGATTATCTATTGACCAGCAGAAAGCGCACGAAAATGAGGTGCACATCTTCACGTTCGAGGCGCTTAAATTTGTACACTGTGCGTGGATTCTTTCACAAATGTATGAATGATCACTTCTTGACATCACCGAGTAAACCGTTGCTCCTTTTGTGATATTTGCATTGCGTGGTTGGAAGGTGCCGTTGTCTAACCTGTCTTGTCTGCTTATGTGTTCACAGCTCCTGGGCTTTGTGTACGCCTGTTATGTTGTCAGCGCCATGACAGACGAGGAGGACAGTTGTGAGTAGTCAGACCCCCTGACCCACTATGCTCTCCACTTTCCTTTCTCCCTCTTTTCCCAAACCCTGTCCCTGCTGGGTTCACTTTCTCTCTCCGCGCTCACCCAGACGAGCCACGCCTTCACACCTCGTTGGGTCTGTCCTCCATGTTTGATGCTCTTCTTCCTTGCTGCCGTCCTCCGTTCTGCCTATGATGTACTCTGTATTTTTTTTTTCTCTCACTTGTGTGGCCTTTGTCAATCGAGCTGCCTCTGGTATTTTGGATTTCTACTGTCTTTGTTATTAATTTGTTATATTGTTTATTGCACAAATTATTTTTGCTCCATACTCAGCACTTTGTATACAGCGATGGTTGCTTTAAAGTGCTCTATAAATACCGTTCAGTCGACTGCTGATAAAAGCAGCAGGTTGAATTCGTATGTCTTTCAGCCAATCTGATTATCTGCTCATGTTCAGCCAAATAATTCAGGAATCATTGGATAGTGCTTCACAGTGCAAATTGACAATGACCTGAAGCATACTGCAAAAGCAACTAAAGTGTTTTTGAAAGCAAAGAAGTAAAATGTTTTGCAATGGCCAAGTCAATCATCTGACCTGAATCCAATTGAGCATGCATTTCGCTTGCTGAAGACAAAACTGAAGTACAAATTCACCAAGCAAAAAAACAAGCGGGAAGTGAAGACAGTTGCAGCAGAATTCTGGCAGGGCATCTTCGGGGATGAGATTCAGCATCAGTTGATGTCTTTGATATGATCCAGACTGCAAAGGATTTGCAACCAAGTATCAAAAAGTCAACGATTTGAGGTGGTTCATTTGTCTTTTTAGTTTTGGTCCCTTAAAAAGTGAAAGGCACATATACAAATCCTTGTCATTCCTACACCGTTCACCTGATTTGGACGTCTGCAGTTCAAGCACATCTTGCTGGCTTCATTTAAAATCCACCGTGGTGATGTTTAGAGCCGAAAAGAATTGTTTGAATGTTCCAATATTTATGGACCTGACTGAAGCAGCAAGTCAAATATGACCAACGCGCCATTGTGTGAATTGACCTTGACTGTCCCTGTGCAAGGAAAGGGTGAAAAAAACGACTGTGGGGAAAAAGCAGCAGAGCTGGTGAAATGAGTCACAAGAAAAGACTGAGAAACCAGAGAGGGACACTTGTGTTGAATGACACAGCTGCTGTTGTTACGTAATAGGCAGCGGGTCAAAGGCCGGGTCAAAGGCCATCTTTGGGGTTAGCCAATCAGAGCAGGAAGAATTTGATCAAAGGGTCATAAATATCTGATTAGCGGTAAGTCGGGACGAATAGCTTTGTCTTTCTAGTTTTAGCCACTACTTCATGAAGGCTTTGGCAGAATGGTTCCGTGAGGATTAGCTGAGATTGTACAACGTTTCGCTGATGGTTGGGGTTTGGAGGGTGTACTGTACCATATTTCTTGGAAGACCGAGGAAACGGCTCCTGGCTGGAATCATGTCGGACGCTTTTGTCGAACACCCAAAAGTCCGATGTGATTTTTAAACACACAACACAAGCTAATTGCATGTTCACCCAGAAGTCTCTTGTAATTTTGTGCGGTCATGTATGTTCCTGTAGAATAGCTCACATGTCTTTAACTTGCGCGGTCACATTCCAGAGATCCACTGGCTATGAGCAGTTCACATTTTAGCCAACTGATTCCCCCCTGGCCCCCATGCTTTGAACGGTACCATTTAAACACCACACACTCCCAAATCAAGCCTCGAGCGCCGTGTCCTCTCGACCAAAATCTAAAGTTGCTCTCTACTCATGTTGACATGACAACTGTTTTGCTAAAAACAGAACTGTTCATCCTTAATGCAGGTCTACTTTGTGTAAGCGGTGGTTATGCATTGAGCCAGCAACGCTTATGGATGCTGCTGTACGTTGTAATTGCAGTACCCACATCGTGATATCTGCACTTGTTTAATGGCGACTGCTCGCTGGATATAATTAACATCTTGTTGCTCTGTGATCCAGACTGAACTGCAGTAAATTGCAGCTACATCATTCCCAACTGTCAGCCCTTTGTTATTATAATCTGCTCCATGTCAGCGCGCATGTGCAAACACACACACACACACACACACACACACACACACACACACACACACACACAAGCACTCTTCCTCTCACACACACAACCAGAAAAGGTGCTCTCATTTTCCATTCTCATTTGATGTGTAGATTAAAGAGCTTCTCAACAGTGAGCTCCCTTTCTGCCTCAGCATTTCTTTTTCTCTTTACGTCCCCCTTCTCTGATGACTTTCATGGTTTTTCTTTTTATGCTTCCCTGCTGGCAGTAGCTATGGAGACATTCTCTTTGTTGCCTGTCTGCTTGTAGGTAGTGTACAGAATAAAGGGAGATTTTTTTCCCCACATTGTGACAAACTTTTACATGGCTGTGAGGATGTGGCTGGTTATGCATTTGGGGCTCAAAAGTAGGGCTGGGCATAAGAGTTAATTAATCAACTGTTGGGGTGAAACAAGTCCATGAGTAATTTGAGTACCTTCATTAAACATACATGGCAATTTTCCGCGGATCCGTGGAAATCCGCCGTTTTATTTCTTAAATTGATCATTTTTGTGAATCGTCTAAATCCGTTGAGAAAAATTTAGGGGCGGTCAGATACCTTATCGTCGAGTTTTCACGAGCTCTCCCGAACAGTCTCTCCGTTTTCCGTTTGTAAACAGCCCTGCGATTGGACGTGTATGAAAGCTTCAACTAATCAGATCACTGAAGGCGTGATATTTGCATTGCGTGGTTGGAAGGTGCCGTTGTCTAACCTGTCTTGTCTGCTTATGTGTTCACAGCTCCTGGGCTTTGTGTACGCCTGTTATGTTGTCAGCGCCATGACAGACGAGGAGGACAGTTGTGAGTAGTCAGACCCCCTGACCCACTATGCTCTCCACTTTCCTTTCTCCCTCTTTTCCCAAACCCTGTCCCTGCTGGGTTCACTTTCTCTCTCCGCGCTCACCCAGACGAGCCACGCCTTCACACCTCGTTGGGTCTGTCCTCCATGTTTGATGCTCTTCTTCCTTGCTGCCGTCCTCCGTTCTGCCTATGATGTACTCTGTATTTTTTTTTCTCTCACTTGTGTGGCCTTTGTCAATCGAGCTGCCTCTGGTATTTGGATTTCTACTGTCTTTGTTATTAATTTGTTATATTGTTTATTGCACAAATTATTTTTGCTCCATACTCAGCACTTTGTATACAGCGATGGTTGCTTTAAAGTGCTCTATAAATACCGTTCAGTCGACTGCTGATAAAAGCAGCAGGTTGAATTCGTATGTCTTTCAGCCAATCTGATTATCTGCTCATGTTCAGCCAAATAATTCAGGAATCATTGGATAGTGCTTCACAGTGCAAATTGACAATGACCTGAAGCATACTGCAAAAGCAACTAAAGTGTTTTTGAAAGCAAAGAAGTAAAATGTTTTGCAATGGCCAAGTCAATCATCTGACCTGAATCCAATTGAGCATGCATTTCGCTTGCTGAAGACAAAACTGAAGTACAAATTCACCAAGCAAAAAAACAAGCGGGAAGTGAAGACAGTTGCAGCAGAATTCTGGCAGGGCATCTTCGGGGATGAGATTCAGCATCAGTTGATGTCTTTGATATGATCCAGACTGCAAAGGATTTGCAACCAAGTATCAAAAAGTCAACGATTTGAGGTGGTTCATTTGTCTTTTTAGTTTTGGTCCCTTAAAAAGTGAAAGGCACATATACAAATCCTTGTCATTCCTACACCGTTCACCTGATTTGGACGTCTGCAGTTCAAGCACATCTTGCTGGCTTCATTTAAAATCCACCGTGGTGATGTTTAGAGCCGAAAAGAATTGTTTGAATGTTCCAATATTTATGGACCTGACTGAAGCAGCAAGTCAAATATGACCAACGCGCCATTGTGTGAATTGACCTTGACTGTCCCTGTGCAAGGAAAGGGTGAAAAAAACGACTGTGGGGAAAAAGCAGCAGAGCTGGTGAAATGAGTCACAAGAAAAGACTGAGAAACCAGAGAGGGACACTTGTGTTGAATGACACAGCTGCTGTTGTTACGTAATAGGCAGCGGGTCAAAGGCCGGGTCAAAGGCCATCTTTGGGGTTAGCCAATCAGAGCAGGAAGAATTTGATCAAAGGGTCATAAATATCTGATTAGCGGTAAGTCGGGACGAATAGCTTTGTCTTTCTAGTTTTAGCCACTACTTCATGAAGGCTTTGGCAGAATGGTTCCGTGAGGATTAGCTGAGATTGTACAACGTTTCGCTGATGGTTGGGGTTTGGAGGGTGTACTGTACCATATTTCTTGGAAGACCGAGGAAACGGCTCCTGGCTGGAATCATGTCGGACGCTTTTGTCGAACACCCAAAAGTCCGATGTGATTTTTAAACACACAACACAAGCTAATTGCATGTTCACCCAGAAGTCTCTTGTAATTTTGTGCGGTCATGTATGTTCCTGTAGAATAGCTCACATGTCTTTAACTTGCGCGGTCACATTCCAGAGATCCACTGGCTATGAGCAGTTAACATTTTAGCCAACTGATTCCCCCCTGGCCCCCATGCTTTGAACGGTACCATTTAAACACCACACCCGCCCAAATCAAGCCTCGAGCGCCGAGTAGCCAACTGATTCCCCCCTGGCCCCCATGCTTTGAACGGTACCATTTAAACACCACACACTCCCAAATCAAGCCTCGAGCGCCGTGTCCTCTCGACCAAAATCTAAAGTTGCTCTCTACTCATGTTGACATGACAACTGTTTTGCTAAAAACAGAACTGTTCATCCTTAATGCAGGTCTACTTTGTGTAAGCGGTGGTTATGCATTGAGCCAGCAACGCTTATGGATGCTGCTGTACGTTGTAATTGCAGTACCCACATCGTGATATCTGCACTTGTTTAATGGCGACTGCTCGCTGGATATAATTAACATCTTGTTGCTCTGTGATCCAGACTGAACTGCAGTAAATTGCAGCTACATCA